GGGGGAGGGAGGGAGGGAGGGAGGGAGGAGGGAGGAGGGGAGAGGAGGGAGGAAGGAAGGGGAGAGAGAGAGGGAGGGAGAGAGAGAGAGAGAGGGAGGGAGGGAGGAGAGGGAGAAGGGAGAGAGAGAGAGAGGAGGAGAGGGAGAGGGAGAGAGGAGAGGAGAGGGAGAGGAGAGAGAGAGAGAGAGAGAGAGGAGAGAGAGGAGAGAGAGAGAGAGAGAGGAGAGAAGAGAGAGGAGGAGGGAGGGAGGGAGGAGGGAGAGAGAGAGAGGGGGGGAGGAGAGAGAGAGAGAGAGAGAAGAGAGAGAGAGAGAGAGAGAGAGAGAGAGAGAGAGAGAAGAGAGAGAGAGAGAGAGAGGGAGAGAGAGAGAGAGGGGGAGGGAGGGAGGGAGGGAGGGAGGAGGGGAGGGAGGGAGGGAGGGAGGGGAAAGAGAGAGAGGAGAGAGGAGAGGGAGAAAGAGAGAGGGGGGAGGGAGAGAAGAGAGGGGAGAGAGAGAGGAGGGAGAGAGGAGGGGGAGGGAGAGAGAGAGGAGGAGAGAGGAGAGAGAGGGAGGGAGGGAGGCGACGAGAGCGAGAGAGACAGAGAGAGAGAGAGAGAGAGATAGAGAGAGAGAGAGAGAGAGAGAGAGAGAGAGGAGAGGAAGAGGAGGAGAGGGAGGGAGGGAGGGAGAGAGAGAGAGAGAGGAGAGAGAGAGAGAGAGAGAGAGAGAGAGAGAGAGAGAGAGAGAGAAGAGGAGAGAGGAGGGAGAGAGAGAGAGAGAGAGAGAGAGAGAGAGAGAGAGAGAGAGAGAGAGAGAGAGAGAGAGAGAGAGAGAGAGTGTGTGTGTGTGTGTGTGTGTGTTTATGTCCGTGTCTGTGCGTGCATACATACACATATACACGCACACTATATATAGAAAAATAGACAGATATAGATAAATAATAAATAAATATGAAAAAAGTTTCTCCTCAAAAGCCAAACTGAAAATCAAACTTTTTTTGGCAGATCGAAGAGCGAACTACATTCATTCTTGTCGGCAACATGTTTCGGAGCAGAAATCGCTAATATCTTGTTTATACTCTTAGTCCGTCTGCTTGTCTCTCTCTAACTTTTTTTTTTAGCTAATTGTTTATTCTTTTAACTGTCTATCGTTTTTTTCATCTGTCCATCGAGCTGTTTATTCATCTATATATTCAGCTATTCTATCTTCCTCTTCTCTTCTCTTCTTCTCTCCCTCACTCTCTCTTTCTTTCTTTCTCTCTCAATCTATCACTCTCTCTCTCTCTCTTTCTCTCTCAATCTATCACTCTCTCTCTCTCTTTCTCTCTCAATCTATCTCTCTCTCTCTCTCTTTCTCTTTCAATCTATCACTCTCTCTCTCTCTCTATCCTCATCGTCCAACCTTTCCTCTCATAATCGCTTCCGGTTTTGCGCATTTGCCTCACACCCTTATCCTCACACGCACAGTTTCCCTCCCCAATAAAGAGGGAAAAATGAGAGGGAAATGAGTGTAATAATAATCCCATGGCGGTGCGTGTTCGGTGGAAGGGAGGGCGGAAGCGACACAAAATTTTAACGTGTCTTAGTTACGCCTAAAAAAGGAGGATTTTTTTTTTTTTTTTAGTGAGGTATAAATATACAAAGCTTTCTCTTTCTTTCTTTCTTTCTTTCTTTCTCTCTCTCTCTCTCTCTCTCTCTCTCTCTCTCTCTCTCTCTCTCTCTCTCTCTCTCTCTCTCTCTCTCTCTCTCTCTCTCTCTCTCTCTCTCTCTTTTTGGGGGGAGTTGTCCGATTTTTTTATTCCTTTTGGAATGTTTAATGCACGAATATCTGTTTGCTTTAAAATATAATTCTTCAAAGATCTTTCTAAATAAACATATTTCTCTATTTCTGTATTCCTTTACTTATTACTCATTTATTGATTATTCATGCATTTTAATTAATTTCCAAATGCATAATATACTCTTGTTTGACTGTTTATGCTTCAAAATATTCTTTGTTTTTTGCTTTCCTCTCTGTGTTCTATATCTTTGATCGAATTGTCATATTTTGCGGACC